GACCTGATGGCTACTGGTTGTTTTGTTTTTACCAAATGCTGTCCTTCTACTTCCAACTCCAGAACGTGACCCTGTAGCCATCAGCACAACCACCTGCCAGGCGCGTGTGCACAGCCAGTGTTCAGGAATGCAATCAAGGGCTGTCGAAACACGGTACGGCCCACTCACGCCACCAAACGTCACCCAGTTCTTACAGAGCCCAGTGTGTCTCCCTCCAGCGCCAACACAAATGGTTCCCCGGGGACACAGAGCTCGGGAAACCAGATGTCAGGGACTGGGATTCCTGATACACCAGAGAAAGGCCCAGTTACACACTGACCACTGGCCTCTTATCCCTCTAACATCACACTGGGCCTCTGCTTCATTTGTCCTGCTCTGTTTTTAACTGTGATGGGAACATGGGTGAGACACAAAAATGCAGCTCAAACATTTAACACAGAGACCCCTTGTGTAATCACATGAAGGCAAAATCTTCAGGCCTTTCGTGCCACCAGAAACTACAGGCTCTGTCTGCAGCCAGAGATGACACTTACCCAAATTACTAATTTTCTTTAGTTTTTTTTGTTGTTGTTGTTTATTTTTTGAATTGGGTAAAGGCATTTTTTTTTATTCATAGTCTTATCACCTAAGCATGTACCCTAAAACACTGTATTTTATTTTACCTGGTTTTTAAACATTAAATAAATTGAGTCACACACAAAGAAAGTAATCAGGCTGCAGGGCAGCCCTGGGCTAAAATGTGAATTTTCTTATTGTGTGCAGACTGTCCAAAAAAGCCACAAAACGTTTACCCCTGCAGCGGGAGGGACAGGTCGACCAAGAGAAGAAATCACGGTTCAACGCACACACATGCTTCTTGTGCCCCTTGGCTGTTGTACCCTTGGCATGCATCCCGCCATAAATAAATAAGTCAGGTTAAGGACAAAGGAGCTGGAGCAGTACTTTTTTGACCTTGAAGGGAATTGATAATACTCAGCTAGGCAGCCCATTGCTGAGGGAGGCCATAGCCTGCTCCTCAGCATGTGGCGGCGTGTGGCGGGTGAGGACAAGACGCTGTTCACGCCAATTCCAGAACGGGCGTGGGCAGAGGGAGGGAGGGAGGAGACTGGGCAGGGGACACTGCCGTCCAGTTGATCCTGACAGGGAAGGGAAGAATTGTCCCTTAGGGTTTCTCAAGGGTGTGTGTGACCTTCACAGAAGCAGTAGGTTTACTCCTGTGGAGTAGCTGGGGAATACGGACGGCTGACCTCGTGCTCAGTAGCCAAGTGCTTACCTGCTGCACCACTAGGGTTTCCCAACCCAATGCCATCAAGTTGGTGCTGACTGATAGAGCCCCGTACAATGGCCCAGACTGCCCTTATCTTTCTCCCTCTCAATGGTGGGTGAATGCCAACCATGGACTGTTTTTCTCCTGGGGGGAGGAGGAGGGGTACCAGTGAATCCCCTTAGCCACTGCATTACCAGGACTACTAGGGAGTTCACTCAGGGCCAGCTAGCCCACTCGGCCCATTGTTCTCCAAAGAGCCTCAACCTCTCGACTCACAGTTGCCATTTAGGAGCTCTCTGCCAGGGACGGGTCAGGGCGTTGGCGGCACAGAAGACTTACGGCACGCTGGACCGGTTTCCAGGAGGGTCCGGCAGGGGAAGTGGCTCCTCGGGCTCTGGGGGTCCAGTAGGGGACATGGACTCCCTCACGCCTGTGGGCACAAGGAGGGAACACATTGAATCACTCGAATCCACCTGGTCCTTCTTGGAATCGCCAGAGGCAGATACTAAGGCATCTCAGAGGACAAACTGCAGACTCCATGGTGCTGATGGCTGATATATGCATGTGAGACACAATGACAGTACATACAAAGAGGTAACCCTGAGGTATTGAATCGCTCAGCCATGCCACCATGTATATACACCTAAAGGGCAGAAAAGAGGTGTCCACACCAAAAACCTGTCCACCAGTGTCCACTGTAGAACTACTCACAAAAAGTGAAAGCAACCCAAGTGTCCATCAGAACACGAATACCCAAGATGTGGTGCACACACACAATGGCTTCAAAGAGAAAGGGTGTCTTGATACAGATGCAGAAAAGTGTAAGACCCCCAATGACATGGACGGACACAGTGGTGACCGCAGTGCGCTCAAATGCTAACAGTTGTGAGGATGTTTTCTTATGCACAGGGCCACTATGAGTTGGAACTGACACAATGGCACCTAACAACATGACCCTAAGACCAGAAGAGCTAGATGGTGCCCAGCTACTACAGTCAACTGCCCTGAGACCAGAAGAGCTAGATGGTGCCCAGCTACTACAGTCAACTGCCCTGAAGGGGATTGTATTAGAAGGTCCTGGATGAAGCAGGAGAAAACATGGACCTGAGATACAGTGGGCTCTTTCCTACATTTCTTCTAGCCAGTCTTTGGAACTCCAAGCCAGCTCCTTGATGGGTCTACGTAAGTGAAGTGGAGAAGATGCTGACGAAATGTATCCTTCCGTTATAAGGGATCGTGAACAAGGCGATTTAATTGTGAAACCGGGAGATTTAACGTGAGTATGAAATAAGGCATCTCAGAAGAGGGGCGATCTCAGGACTATCAAACAAGAGACAGGAGTAGAATGTGTGGTTTGGGCCCTGAGACCCCTGTGCATTGAACGTCCTTGACCCAGGAGCAAAAGAGGTGACCCCAGAGGAGCGGCATGACTGAGAGCCAGAGCCCCAGACAGAGCGACAGGCTCCCAGCCCACGGAGCCAGTGAAGCTGAGGGACTGTGGGCAGGAGGTTTGCTTGCAGCGTGGGGTGCCTTTAGGCACTTACTTTGGGGAGCTAGGTTTGTTTACCCACAGAGCTATTGCTGCATGCCTTCAGGCTGAGGCTCATGGTGTGTTCTGTGGGCTCTGATCAGCAGCCCTGAAAGACCTTTGTAACACTGTCCAGGCAGAGAGAGGCCTGGCTGAGAGGCTGTCCTGACTGGAAGAACGGTGCCCTGAGCACTTCTGATCCTGAATTAGAGACCGTTAACGTCCATAATAAACCCCGTATCTGTGAGTATGGCGTCGGAGTCGTCTGTGCCCGCTGCGGGGAATCATGGAACCCGGCGGAGCAGCTGAGAGTGCAGCCGGAGGAATGGTTAGTGCCATGTTTTGCAGGAACAAAACTCAAAATCATAAAAAGAGAGCAGGCTTATGGGTCAGACAGAAATTCCCAAGATTATGGCCTTCGTCATCCTCCACGTCTGCTAATGAACTCACCCTCATAGCTCAGCCAAACAACATATAGGTCTATCTAGGGAGGGAGGGACACCTCATCATAATCAACCATTTGATTAACAAGACACCTCTTACCCAAGGACAAAATTCAGAAAGGTTAATAGAGTGGATCTAGGAAACCCAGGAGGAAGTGGGATAAATGATGTTTCCTTGTGGGGACTGCAATCAATGCCATGAAACAAAATGTTTGTGAATTATTGAATAGGAAACTGATCTGTTCTGCAAACCTCTGCCTGACTCTCAAGGAACTAAAAAACGTTATGCTGAGTAACTGGTCAGTCACAAAAGGACAAATACAAGTGGGTTTAAAGAGTTCTTAGGTCCATTCCATTATCTTATCATTTCATTTCCCATCAACTTTTTGAATCACCCTAGTATTGAAGGATTTCATCATCATAAGAACCACCTAGAAAACGAAAATACAGCCACAGATGATTTTTAATCTCTATGAGGAAGGTGAGGTTCCCCTGAGGCCTCAGGCCTGCCAATGGGTCCCTGGTAGAATGGGGGTTCTGGGGCCAGATTCCACTCCAACTTTGCTCTGTGGGTCACTGCGGGGTTACCCTCCATTCATACAGTGCATCTGTGGGTTGTGATGTGCTGCCTGAGCCCCTCGGTTTTCCGAGTAGGTACCGGCTCTCTTGCTCACCGTACAGTTGCCAGACGCGCACACGGTCCTCATAGGGCAGCCCGTAGCGCAGGGGGTCGCCCACGGGGCCCTGGTAGTACGGCTGCATGATGGACTTGGGGGTGGCCACGTGACTCAGCCCAATGGCGTGGCCGAACTCGTGCACAGCCACTGCAAACAGGTCCATCCCGTGGGCATCTGAAGGACAGGGCCGTGTGAGCTGGGGCCTGAGGGAAGGGCAGGCGCCCGCATGCTGCTGGACAGAGGATGGGGTGGGTTCCATGCAGGCCTGCCCGGGTGGCCACTGTGAAGACTGCAGGGGCTTCCTGGACCGGGATCCCCAGTGCCTCCCACCCAACCATGCACGTCACTCAGGGAGGATGGGCTGCCCTTCTGCACAGGGTGGACCTTGGGGACCACAAGCAAGAGTGTGGTCAGCTCGCAACCCTCCAGCTGGGAGGAGGCAAACTGTCCATAGCGCTGGGCCGTGGAGGTCTCCAGCCTTGCTAGGGTTGGAGGGGGTCACCAGAGTTGCCCAGACACACCCGAGGAACGGAAAGTCCACGCCTCATCGTCGTCGAAGTGGGCGTCCCCTGCAGCGTGGTGGTTGCCGGGAAGGAAGGCGTGGGCCACGGTGCCGCCGGGGCCGTCGAAGGGGTAGGCGTCACTGTGCTCCGCCCTGGAGAAGTCGATCTGGATGTCCGCTGCACTGCCTGCCACCTCATGGAAGTTGAGCGGCGCGATGTCACTCCAGACCTTGAGGGCGTAGTACATGAGCGCACGCACTGTGTCTCGGCCCAAGGGGGAGTCCCGCGGGAATGTCCGGACCCTGCGGGGCAGGGGCGCAGATGTAACCCAGCCCCGTAGCCCCCGCCCAGGCAGGAAGCATGTGCACGGAGCTACTCACCCTCTCTGCAAGCAGCACCCACCCGTCTCTGCTTCCCCTTACTCAGGAGACAGAGCTGATATCCAGGAGGGCTCTGGGAGCCCACCCAGGACAGGCAAGTCTCTGCAGATGGAAGGAAGTGACGTCTAGGTGGGCCAAAGCTACTGGGGCAGGAAACCCGTATGTGTCCACTCTCCGTCCGCTGCCCTGACCTATCTGTGTCACCTGCACAGGACTGTGTCGCCATTAGCTCACACAGACCCTGGAACAGCAGAGAACCACATCCATGTCCACCCAAAATGGCGTGATGCCACTTACAGGCAGATCTCAGAGGCACTACAGATTCGGTCCCAGAACACCGCAATTAAACAGGTATCACAGTAAACTGAGTCACATGCATTGGTTTTTAGTTTCCCGGTGCACAGAAAAGTTAAGTTTACACTACACTGGTGTGGCAATGTATGATAAGCACTTGACTGCTAATGCCAAGATTGGTGCTTTAAACCTACCAGCTGCTCCTTGGAAACCCTATACAGGGCCGCTAAGAGTTAAGAACTGACTCGACGGCACTTCACAACAACAAAACGGTAGTCTATTAAGTGTGCAATTGTTGTGTTGTGAAGTGCCTTCAAGTCAGTTCCGACTCATAGCGACCCAGTGTAGGGTTTCCTAAGAGTGGCTACTGGGTTTGAACCGCTGAACTTGCAGTTCAAACTGACCTTGCAGTCCAGTGCATTATCCTGCAGTGCCACCTCAGGACTCCAAGTGTGCAACAGCAGGGTGAAACCATGGAGACAAGTTTGAAATAGTCATCGGCTAGAGGGCAGACATGTTTTCACTTGGATGGCGGAAGGCAGTATATAAGTGAGACTGGGAGAAAGATAAAGGCAGGCAACGCCATGGAGGAATGTGAGAGTTAAAGGAACAGCAGTAAAGACGATCACATACACAATCCTGTAACAAAATGACACAGGCAGACACACAGGAAAACCCACAGGCTGAGTGGACATGAGAAGGAGAATGGAAGCATACTCAGGAATCCATACAGATCTGACAGAAGATTATTTAACATATCCATGAATATGGTGGTGCATATAGGGGGCAAAATTATGAAAACTGCTTAGCTATTCCCAAACACCTTGAGGCAAAGAGCTGCTAGGTCTGAGGGGCTCAGGACCACAGTCTGAGGGGACACGATGGCACAACAGAATCCACAAACACAATGCTCTACATCTGACTTTGGTGAGCAGTGACTCGGGTCTTACAAGCTCATGAGCAGCCATCTAAGGTGTAACTATTGGTCTTTCCCTGTGGGGAGGGAAGAGAATGATGAAAAGTGAAGATGCTTGCAAAGAACGAGTCCAGTGGACTAACGGATCATAGGGACATGTCTCCACTACCCAGACTAGAACTGGTGCCCACTCACCACTAACTGCTCTGAAATGGATCACACTACACGGGTAGAGAGTAGGAGACAAATTTGCAGTGAAACTCAAAATCATACAAAAGACTAGGTTTACTGGTGAGAGAGAGATGGTAGAACCCCAAGACCATGACCCACAGTCACCGTTCAGGTCTGGAACAGAATTCACCTTGGTAACTAAATTTTCAATCAAGCAAGAGATAGGCTTATTGAGGGGGGGCAATAACACTAGTGAGGTACTACACCATAGAACGGCCAACCATTTGCCATCAAAAGAGCAGCCATTTACCTAAGGGCAAAATTTAGATGGAGGATTGGAAACAATACACACAGAGTATGTATTGCGGTCAAGTGTAGGATTTGTTGAATGGAAAACTGATGATCTGCCCTGTAAACCAACACTCAATTCCCAATACCATTAAAAACAACAACGAAGTTTGAAATATTGTGAGAATGACGAAAATGCGACAAAAAAAACCAGTGGGCAGATGTTGGAACAATGCACCAACAGTCTTGCGTAACACAGGGTTGCCGTGAACCTTCTGTTCATTAAAACAAGACCAACACAACAACAACATCAACACAGTATCTGTGCAGCACAGTAAAGTGAGGCATGTTTGTATTTGGAAACAAGACCGTTGCTGATAGGATGAGGTGAAAAGAGAGATTTAGTCTTCCTGGGTTAGATGGGCCCTAATCCAACAAGTCAACCGAAAATCAGAGGCTGTTGAGTTAACTTGGACTCACGGCAACTACACACATTTCAGAATAGAACTGGGTTCTATAGGGTTTTCAATGGATAGGACTTTGGCAATAGACTGCCAGGTCTTTCTTCTGAGGTACCTCTGGGTGGACTTGAGCCTCTAACCTCTCGGTGGGCAGCTGAGGTTGTTCACCATCTGCACCACCCAGGCCTCTTCAGATCCAACAAGAGAGTCCTTGTAGGAAACAGGAAGGACACGCACAGGGAGGAAGCCCCCGGGAAGGCGGAGGATATGGGTGGTACAGCCACAAGCAGAGACACCCCAGGATTTACAGAAGGAACGGAGGATCTTCCCCCGTGAGGCCCCAGAAGGACACCACCCTGCCAACACCCAGACTGGACACTGGGCCTGCAGACTATGTTGTGCTAAGAGCCCCTAGGTCCTCATCTGTCCCCTCACACACCTCCATGATAGGTTCCTTTTGTTCCACTTGGTTTGGGTGGTGGCCTGGCGCCTCCGTCGTGTAGGGGCCGTGGCAGGGAGGTCAGGGAGAGAACAGCGCGGGGTCTTCATCAATGCCAGGGTGGCCTCGTCTATAGAATGAGTAGTGGTCAGGGCCAGCCTGCTCATATCCTCACCAGGCTGCAGATGTTGCCCCTAGCCCACCTGCGTCCTCCCTCCCAAGCTGGTCTGGGGAGACAGCCCCCAGTCCTGCAAGGCTGTGTAACCTCCTAGAGGTTAAACATGGAGGGCATGTGCTCACAGACTCAGACTTGGTGACATCTAATACAGTTACGACCGCATGGTGTGGGCACTGACCAATCAGAAAGGTCAGCAGCAGAACCCTGGCCAATCAAATGGGATATGGCTTAGTCCTGACCAATCAGAAGCTGGTTGCGCTGGTGCGGGTCCGCTTCTGTGCTACACACAGGTGTCTACACCAACGGAGGCCTGGACAGGTGCTTGGTCAGCCAGCCCTGAAGCTGTCTTTACAAAACTGGACCTCTGCACCCACGGTGTCACCCAAACAGCTCGGCTTCTGGGCCTTTTCTCCCAGAAGCTCCTCTGACACAAGGCAGCCACTTTGCAGGGTGGGTCTCATGGGGGCTGAGTCTCCAGAGGCACTGAATGGGGTCCTGCTGCAGAGCGAAGCCAGGTGAGGGGGGGTGACGATGGGGTCCCACATCCTGGTCACACCTCCCATGTACACTGGTGAGGAGAAAGGATTGGGGTGGGGTGCTGGGTAGGTCTGGCAGTGGGGGTCAGGCTGGGAGCCCATCCCTGCTGTCCCCAAAGACTGACCCAGTATGCCAGTAGCTTCCAGGCCCCCAAACCGCTGCATGGCCTCGATGGCTTTGGCTAGCTCCTCTTGTATTTGCAGCTGTCCCGAGGTGGGGTCTGCGGGGGGTAGGTAGCCGAACCTGCTCAGCCACTCCTGTGGGGTAGAGAGCTGAGTGAGTGGGGCAAGGGGAGACAGGGCTTGATCCCAGTAGAGCAGCTGGGCCCACCCCCATCAGCCCACAGTCACCCCTGGTCTTGCAGACAGGGCAACCTTGTGCAGTGTACAACCTGAGCAACCACACATGGCAGCTACCCCACTCCTTCCCAAGGCAGCAGTGGGCCCAGGGTACGTGAAAGAAGGTGAAAAGCAAGGGTTCCTAAAGTTGACCAGTGTGAACGCAGGCTTGGGCTGACCGTGAGGGGAGTGCAGGGAGGGTCAGGGTGTGCACGCGTACACACACACACCTTTGCTGAGACTATCGGCCAGGCTGCTTCCTCACAACCCTACCACAGCTTCCTGAAGACCTGCAGAGCTTCTCTGGAGGCTGCACCATGAAGGGTGAGGGAGGCCCCACCCCCTGTCAGAGAGGGTGAGAGGCAGAGTGGAGACCCCGGGGAGAACTAGGAGCTTCCTGGCTGTTTCCCTGCCCCCTCGTCCTGAAAGCTGAGTGGCAGATCCAATGGGTGTTGAGTAATCCAGCTTCCTGAGCCCTTCCAGGACCCTGCAGGGTTTACCAAGAAGGCCAGCCTGGGAAAGTCTAGGATTCTGAGCACATTTAAAGGGGGGTCTGCATGGCACCTTGACAAGGACCTGTTTCATTCCTTTCTTTCTCACACCTCTTGACCCTTCAGGCCGTGTGGCTCTGCTCCCTGGCCCTTTCCTCCACAGCTGACTCTGGAGGCCATGGTTCTACTCCCTGGCCAACTCTTGGGGACCCTGGGGGGTCCTTGACAAGAGGACAAGTTCCTGATAGGTTTTGAGGGTGCAGATAGCAGCAGGTCTTGGGGGCACCTGTGGGTGAGGGGTCTGGCCTTTCCTGTCCACAAGCCCCATGCAGTCCAGCACCCTGGGCAGAGGCTCCCATGTCCAGTGTCTGAGCAAGCAGATCCCAACCTGGGCAGGAGGAGCCCATCCCAGCAGAAAGGGGTGTCCCAAATGACGGGGACCCCAGTCTGTCATTGCCTCAATCTCCGAATAGGTGAAAACAGTTTGCAATGCCAACCCAGGTTGCTGGGCGAGTGTGTGCGGACCAACATTAATGGGGTGAGGAAAGCAACCCTCAGGGACTAGGGTCCCTGTGAAGAGGCAGCAGTTGGGGCTTGTAAACCCGCCACCTCTGAGCATCGTGGAGCAAACATGGCCAGTAGCCTGCTCCCATCTGCCCTCCCTGGACAAGCACCCCACGCCACCTCACTCCTTCTCTACCACTGTGGTGCCTGGAGGTGGGGGTGTAGTGTGTAGACCCCCCATTTCAGATACCCCCACTCTGCCCCCAATACCTGCAGCGCCGGGCAGACTGCATGCTGTCTGGGTGCAGGCCCTCTGTGGCCCCTTTCCCACCCTGCAACTCCCACTCCCGTCTGGTCCTGCCTCTGCCGTCGCCAAGCGACCAACCGCGGTCTCCAGGGCAACGGGAGGCTGCTGCTGGGAGGGCGGCGCTGCGGCAGGCTGGTGAACCTTCCAGAAGGCCACCAGGAGGGTGACGGGAGCCAGAGGGGACCTCGGGGCTCTAGTAGCCCCACCACAGGCCACCATGACTCCTACAGTCCTTGGGGAACTTGCCTGAGGGATGAAAGCGGGCCATTACTGCAGATGGGGATACTGAGGTCTAAGAGGCAGCCTGTGGCCCTCTTCTGACACAGCGGGGGCCCTACCTCCTCCTCCACCCAGCAGTCTCCTCCACTTGTCATAATGTGGTTTCTTAAATTGCTGTAACAAGGCATAATTTACATACTGTAAAACTCAATCCAGCAGCTTTTAGTAAATATTAGAGTCATCTGACCATCCTGTCCAACCAGGTTAAGGGACATTTGGTGATGTGTGTTTGGAGGCATAAGGGATGGAGAGATGGAGGAGTTGGAGGAGGCCGGGAATGAAGAAGGAGATAGGAGGATGAAGGAAGGATGGAGAAGGGATCCAAGGAGGGAAGAGGGAGGAGTGGAGGGAGATGAGGCTAAGGTGGGGAGGTGAGGGGGTGGTGGGCTGGGATGGACCTGAGCATGAAGCCCTGCTTGACACCTGGCAGGTCTAGAGATCCCACTTATTCCTCAGGACAGCCCTATAGTTGGACTCAGCTGACAAAGCCATTTCACAGGTATGTAAAACTAGTCTCAGAGAGGCTGGCCCGACCTGCTGGGGACTGGAGACAGGACCTGAGTGTGAGGGAAGAGACCCCAGGTCCAGCTGAAACTCTACCACACAGCCACTCTGAGTGTGGGCTCTCTGGGTGCCCACGTCTAAAGCCCTTCTTGGGCACTGTGCCCAGAGTTGGTCATCAGGTGGGGAGGCTACAGCCCTGTCGTGAGAGGGCCAGCCCCTCCCAGGTTTCAGCAGCTCTGCCCTGGAGGCATGAGGACTGCTGACCAAGCGGATAGCGTCCTCCATGACCCACGTCTGTCCTGACACCGACCAGGCTCATGGGGGTGTGGACTGAAGAGCAGGTGCCACGAGTCCATTTTACAGTCCTAGAAACTGAGGCTATGGCGCGGCAGGATCTTGAATTTTCAAGAGCCCTCAGCACTGCTCCCCACTCCATTCACCTTCCTCCTCTGGGGGGTGCAGCAGTGACCAGCAGTTCTAACTTACAGGTGACCTTCCTGCTGTCTAGGTGCAGTCTGGATCCCCACCCCCCAACGTCTTCCCCTGACCATCTGACCAGCCATCTGTCTGGCACCCACTGTGCCAAGGAGCTGGGGGGACTCTGAGACCCAGGCCCACTGTCCAGGAACTGGTAACCATTTGTCACATAAATAAGTGGACAGATGATGTCACGCATGAAGGCAACCCCTCGCTCACCACATAGTAACGACTCAACACTCACTGCCCCATGTCACAGTGAACCGTGTGGAATCAATTTGCCTCACCAGGTGGTCCTTCAGAGAAGAAAACTGAGGCCCACGGAGAGGTTAGGCCACTTACCCAAGGATACACAGCCAGTTAATGGCACAGCCAGGGTTGGAACCTGAGCCATGGGGCTTCAGGGCCTGTGTAATGTCTGGGAGTGTGGGAGAGGACGCCCGGGGTGGGGGTGGGTGAGATTTGGGCTGAGATCTGAAAGATGAGGAGTAGTTTGGTGAGGAAGTGTTCTAGCAGTGAGGACAGCAGGTGGAAATGGTCGGGGACAGGAGACAGGAGCCAAGGACCAGCTGGTAGCTGGAGGGTTGGAGAAGTAAGTGGGGCCAGTTGTGTGGGGCCAGTAAGGAGCCAGGAGTAGATTTGATACCAGACCCTGCACCCTGTCAGAGATCTAGCCCTCCTCCAGGAAGCAGATCAGGCCCAACCAACGGAAGCCAGTGCCAGGGTGGCCCCAAGTCCCCAGAGCCTGGCACACAGCTGACACCTGCTAAGGGGAGAGGTGCATCTCCCTCACGCCCCACTGGACCTTAGGTCCCTAGCTAGAGACCGGGGGATGTCCCTCATGAAAGCATCCATCCCGATTCTCCCCTCTAGATCCCACCTGGCGTGGAACAGCCAGACAGACGGACACACAGCAGCACTTTCAGCCAGACGCTGTTGTACAACAAATGACCCTCACCCATTAATCACAAAGGCCCCCAATTTAGAACAGGAGAGCGAGGCACAGAACTGGGTGGTCAGAAATGGGGCTGGGGACACCTCCCACCCACCCACTGGCCTCACTTAGGTGGGATGCTCACCTACATCACTCCCCCACGTCATTCCCACAAACGTCCCCCCAGGGAGGTGAGCCCACCGGAGGCAGGGAGATTTGCAAACTCTCTCCGAGTGGAAATAAAAGCAGTATGTTGAGTGGACACCTGCAAGCTCGCCAACACCCACTGCTCACACACTGGTTCCCAGGACAGCCCACCCCTCCCCCCAAACATCCTTCCCGTGTGCCACTTTGGAATATCAGGAATGGCCCTGCCTGGCACCATCGCTGTGACATTCGTGGCAGGAGGAACGAGGGCAATGATGTCGGGTGGACAGGTATTCCCCAGGGTGCCGCTGCAGAAATGAGAAGCAGGACAGGAAGCAGTACAATTTCTGGAAACGTCAGAACACTCTGAAGAGTGGGTTTCCTGGGCAGGAGGCACGGGACTGACCTCTCCTGCACATTCCTATCTGGCTGGGTTCTACCTACTACAGAAATGAACCGGTCAGCTCAAGTCTGCAATCAAGGACCAGGTGGACACATCCCAGGTTCTTTTGTCCCCATGGTGGGCAAGAGGTGGCAGGGGTCATTGGAGCGCTTTGTTAGAATGCTAATCCTCAGCGGGTGGGGGTTCGTTCACAGGACGGCCAGGCAACCCTGTCTGGAGAGCTGGCTCGCTTACAAAGGGCCCTTGTCCTCACCCCATCCTCAGACATTGCGTCCAGGGGGCTGGCAGGGGTGGCCCGGAGCCCCGCCCCAATCTGGCCCCTTCCCGCCCACACGCGCAAAGAGCGCCGTTTCTCTGGTGGCCACCAGAGGCCCCCCTCCGCCCACAGACCAGGGGAGCCTACGCTCCCACTCCCGGGCTCGGCCGCCGGGCCCACAACACCCGCGGCTCACGAATCTTAAGTCGCCCCAGCTCTCGGCCCGGTCCTGCCAGTGGGCCCCTGGCGCCGGCGTGGCGGATGCGCCCAGGAGGAGCGGGTTTGGGGTGCCCCCGCCGCAACCCCCTCTCTGGGGTAGGGGTGGGCAGGAAACTTCAGAGCCCTCCTGGGCTTGACGGCAGACCCCCACCGGCCCCCATCCGCGAGCATGCCTCGGCCCTATCAGATCCTGCCGGGCTCAAAGACGGGGACCTGGGTCTCTTGCCTCCCACAGCTGGGGAAGTCACTCCCAGAGCGCACGACCTGGGGGTGCAGAGACACCCTCCCCACTCCAAACGGGACGGAGAACAGGGCGCGAGGTCAAGAGCTCCTGGCAGGAAGGCCGCCGTGGGAGCGGTCAGGGGCGCTCCCAGGCTGACGGGCACTGTTCCCCAAACCTTTGGCCACGTCCCCGAGGACCCCCAATGCTTCCTCTGTCCGGAGTCCCGGGTCCCCGATGCCAGAACGCGGGGTCGCGGGGAGGAGGCGGAGCCCGCGGGGGTCTCAAGTTCCGAGGGGCTGCAGGGTGGAAGCTCCCAGAGATCTGCCTTGTCCAAGTGCCCCTCGCCAATTTGAGGTGCTGACACCCACAAACTCTAGCCGCAGGGGAGACCCCAGCCCTAGAGGCTGCACGGGAGAGGCCTCCGCCTCCCCAGCGAAAATTTACGTCAACCGGGAACCTGGGCGCTGGACATGGGGAGCGCTGGGGAGGGAGCGGGGCACATACAAGTCTGGAAGGTATCCCCACCCCGTTCAGGACAGAGGCGCCCTGGAGCGGATGGGGGCAGACCAAGAGCGTGCTCAGTGGGGGAGGGGAGGCGGGCGCCCACACCCCGCAGCTCTGGCTTTGGGTAAGCCCACCACTCATTCCGGGATCCACCGCTGGGGTCCCCTTCCTCACAGACCCGCTGGCGGGTTACTGGGCCGGGCGCCTCCACCCCGAGCTGTTGCGCTGCTTGGGGCGCACAGAGCCTGGGGGACCCCGCGCCTCCTCCCCAGGCCAGAGTCTCCTTAGGTACTCGGCCGCGCCGGACTTCAGCGTTCCTGTCCGGGAAGTGGGCGCAGATGCGGTGTCCCCTTGCCCCCTGCGCACTCACCACTCCCAGGCTGAGGTCCTCGGCGCGGGGCACGGGCGCAGCGCACCCCCCGTGGGCCGCCAGCGCGAGCAGCAGCAGCAGCAGCAGTGGAGGCTGGGTGCGGGGCGCAGGGGGCGGCGGGCCGGGCCCCATGGCTCAGCTCTCCCGCTACACGCTCCGTTCGTGAGGCCGCTCCCGCCGGACTGAGCTAGGCGCGCGTTGCCAGTCGGTATGCTAATGTGGGGCGGGGCCAGGCGTAAGCTAACGCAGCGACCAGCACCGCCCTCAGCCCACCCCACATCCGTAGCCCTAAAGAACCCGCGCCTGTCCAGTGAGCCGCGAGCCAGACGCGAAACAGAGGCACCCACGGGATGCGAACCTGCTGGACCCTCTGAGTTAGCTGGCAGGTTGGACGCCGGCAAGGACCCCCGGACTCCGTGGGGGAGAGCCCGGGGCTGGGAGCCTGCAGCGCGCCCGGCGGGCAGGTGGTGGAGCCCGCGCTCCGCGCAGGATTTGTTAAGGGCAAGAACAGAGAGAGGGGTACGCAGCGTTGGCGCGCGCGCTAGCGCGCGTGTGTATATAGGTCTGTGTGTGGGGGGTGGGGGTACTGCGGACCCGTGCAGGCTTGGGGAGGGGTGCATACTTCTAGCTTCGTGACTGCGGGCTTTCTTTGCCAGGCGCTTCACCCCTCTGCTCTAACTGCATCCTCTCACTACATTATGATGGAAACTTGCTCCCGCTTTGTAAATGGGAAACAGGTCCGGACACATTAAGTAAATTCCCCAGACCTCAAAGGTCACAAGGGGCAGAGCCAGCATCCCATCCCCAATGTGGCCTGAATAATTATAAATTGGGTGGGTCAGACTTTGCTCCCCAAAGGATCTTTAGGGCTTGGGGTTGTTAGGTGCCTTGAGTCAGTACCCGCTCATGACTACCTTATGCACCAGGGAAGGAAACGCTGCCGGTTCCTGCGCAAAACTCACAATTGTTGCTGGAGCCCACCGCTGCTGCCACTGTGCCAATCCATCTCGTTGGGGGTCTTTCTCACGGACCTTCCACTTTACCAAGCATGATATCCTTTTCTAGGGACTGGCCTGTCCTGATACGTACAAAGTATGAGACGAAGTCTGGCCATTCAGACTTCCAAGGAGCATTCTGGTTGTACTTCTTTCAACATGGATTTGTTTGTTCTTTTGGAAGTCCATGGTACTTTTAATATTCTTCCTTAACACCCAAAACCATAACTCAGATGCATCAATTCTTCTATGATTTTCCTTATTCACTGCCCAACTTTTACGTGCATATGCGATTATTGAAAACAGCATGGCTTGGGTCACCTTAGGGCTCAAACTGACATTTTTGTTCTTAAAGAGGTCTTGTGCAGCACATTTGTCTAATGATTTCTTGACTGCGGCTTCCATGATTCTTGATGGTTGATCCAAGCAAAATGAAGTCTTTGGCAACTTCATTTTTTTTCTCCATATACCTTGATGTTATTTATTGGTCCAATGGTGAGGATTTTGTTTTCTTTACATTAAGATATGATCATCATCAGTATTTTAAGACCTCTTCATTTTCAGCAAGCAAGGTTGTATCATCTGCAAATCGCAGGTTGTTAATGAGTCTTCCTCTAATCCTGATGCCATGTTTTTCTTCATATAACCCAGCTTCTCGGATTATGTGCTCAGCGTACAGATTGAATAAGTATGGTGAAAGAATACAACCCTGTCACACACCTTTCCTAATTTTAAATCAGTGTTCCCATGTTCTGTTTGAACAACTGCCTCTTGGTCCACGTACAGGTTCCTCGTGAACATAATTAAATGTTCTGGAATACTCATACTTCGCAATGTTGTTCATACCTTGTCACAATCCACACAATCGAAAGCCTTTGCATAGTCAATAAAGCACAGGTAAACATCTTTCTGGTAGTCTCTGCTTTCAGCCAAGATCCATCGGACATCAGCAATGATAGCTCTCATTCCATGTCCTCATCTGAATCTTGCTTGAACCCCTGTCAATAAACTCTTGCAGTCATTTAAAAATTTTCTTTAGCAAAATTTTACTTGCATGAGATACTAATGTATTGTCCAATGATTTCCACATTCCATCGCATCACCTCTGTTTGGAAGGGGCACAAAAAATGGATCTCTTCCAGTCAGTTGGCCAGGGAGCTGTCTTTCAAATTTCTTGGCATAAATAAGTGAGTGCCTCCAGTACTGCATCAGTTTGTTGAAAGATTTTGATTTGTATTCCATCAATCCCGGAGCCTTGTTCCTTGCCAGTGCCTTCAATGCACCTTGGACTTCCTCCCTCAGTACCAGTGGCTCTTGATCAGATGTTACCTGTTGAAATGATTTAACATTGACCATTCCGTTTTGGTAAGGAGCTCTGGTAGCGTAGTGGTTACAAATCGGGCTGCGAACCTTAAGGCCAGCAGTTCGAAACTACCAGCTGCTCCGCGGGAGAAAGATGAGGCGTTCTGCTCCCGTAAAGATTTACAGCCTCGGAAACATTGTACAGGGTCGCTATGGGTCGGAACCGACTCGACGGCACTTAACAACAACAACAACAACATTCCGTTTTGGTACAGTGATTGTTCATTCCTTCCATTTTCTTATGATGCTTTTTGCATCATTCAATGTTTTGCCCATGTTGTTGTTAGGTGCCATTGAGTCGGTACTGACCATAGTGACCCTTTATAGGGTTTTCAAGGAGCAGCTGGTGAGCTTGAACCGCCGACCTTGCGGTTCAAACAGACTTTGCATTCCAGCGCATTAGTCCATAGCACCACACCAGGACTGCATTTTGCCCATAGAATCCTTCAATATTGCAGGCGAAGCGTGAAGTTTTTCTTCAGTTCTGTCAGCTTGAGTCTTGAGGGGTGGGAAGGAAATGCACTGCCCCCAGTTTCCTCTCCCCCAGCTGGCCTCCAGAGACCGGGCAATGTAGTCACAGATGTTTCCGTGAGGACTAGGCTCCCGTTCTCCTACAGGGAAACTGAGGCCCATGTGCTTCCACTGGGTCCCAGGGCCGTGAGGCCCCTCCCGAAGGTCTGCTCCCCCGCTGTGGGCCTGCACCTGCGCATTAGTGGACGTGGCTAGAACAGGGTGACGCTGCACCTGCTCTCCCAGACATTCGGCCGACCCGTCACTGTCACCTCACAAGGTGCCTCCTGAATCCTGGTCAAGTGTAGCAGGACAGCTTGCTTACAAATGGCATCCTCAACTCAAGCTGGCTGTCAAGGAAAGAATGAACTGGTTCATCAAACTGTGCTGTGTGTGGTGTGCATGCTCAGATCTGCACTTCTCTCTCCCACTTCATCCTCCCCGCCCACTGTCAGCCTTGGCCCCTGGAGCATCTCACTCCAGCTGCCCCCATACCCCCTCCCAGTCTACTTCCCTCTCCTCGCATGGACAGACCAGGAATGGGCACATGGCCACCTCATCCAATCAGAGATGGCCTGTGACTTCGATTTGAACTATGCTCTGGGCTGGACTTCAAAACTGGAAGGATGTGTGGCTTGTATAGGATGTGCACACATATGTGTTTCTGTGTGCACGTTTCTGCATGCAGATGTGTGCATGTGTGTGCAAAAGTACAGAAAAAGAACTGAGCTAGGAGGTGAAGAAGACTTAAAACATTTACTGATGAAGATCAAAGAGCACAGCCTTCAGTATGGATTACATCAATGTAAAGAACACAAAAATCCTCACCACTGGACCAATAAACAGCATTCTTATCAATGGAGAAAAGACTGAAGTTGTCAAGGACTTCATTCTTCTTGGATCAACTATCAGCACTCATGGAAGCAGCAGTCAAGAGATCAGACGATGTATTGCATTAGGCAAATCTGCTACACAGGAACTTTTTAAAGTGTTGAAGAGCAGAGATGTCAGCTTGAGGACTAAGGTGCGCCTGACCCAAGCCATGGTATTTTCAATAACCTCATATGCATGCGAAAGCTGGACAGTGAATAAGGAAGACCGTAGAGGAATTGATGCTTTTGAGTTATGGTGTTGGAGGAGAATATTGAAAGTGCCATGGGCTGCCAAAAGAACCAACAGATCTGTGTTGGAAGAAGTGCAGCAAGAATGCTCCTTGGAGGCTAGGATGGCCAGACTTCATCTCTCACTTTGGACATACTGTCAGGCGGGACCAGTCGTTGGAGAAGGATATCATGTTTGATAAGGTGGAGGGTCAGAGAAAAAGAGGAAGACCCCCAGCGAGATGGATTGGCCAAGTGGCAGCATCGATGGACTCCAGTGTGGCAATGATAGTGAGGTTGGCCCAGGATCGGGCAGTGTTTTGTTCTGCTGTGCATAAGGTCGCTATGGGTCAGTACCGACTCAATGGCACCTAACACCACCAACAACAAGGAGGTGACCTGGTGCACGCAGTCTTGCAGTGGCCCCTGCTGTGCTTTGTACCCGTGCCCAGGGCAGCTGGGGATACTGGTAGTCCTGGTCCTGGAGGACATCTGCAACCCTTGGTCTCCTGTCTCTCTTGGTGCCCTTCACTGGCCGTCTGCTGGAATACCCCCAATAAATTGCTGTCATGGCTGCTCTGCTCAGGATGGACTGGGGGCGGAGAGGGCAGGCAGCCCTGGGAATCAGCGTCACATCTCTCTCTCTGCAACATTCCCATTTATCACCAGAAAGAGGTGTTTGTTTATTAGACCAGCTGCTGTCAGGCCAACCCTAATTCACAACATCCCCACGTGTGTCAGAGTAGAACTGTGCTCACAGGGTTCTCAGTGGATGAGTTTTCATAAGTAGATCCCACTCATGGTGTCCCTGTGTGTGTCAGAGTAGAACTGTGCTCCACAGGGTTCTCAGTGGATGAGTTTTCATGAGTAGATTCCACTCATGGTGCTCCTCCTGTGCACGTCAGAGGAGAACTGTGCTCCCCAGGATTTCAGTGACTGATGTTTTCAAAGTCAATAGACCAGGGCTTTTTTTTTTTTTTTTTTTTTTTTTTTTTGAGATACCTCTAGAAGGACTTGGAGCTCCAGCCCTTCGGTTAGCAGCCAAGTGTATTAATGTTTGCACGATCCAGGGAATAAAAGCCAGGGTTCTGTATTGCATCAGATCCCAGATGCACACTACTTTCTATATTGCTTAGAAGTGAAAAAACGCTGCCAA